CTTCTCCCTCTCCCAGTCCCCCTGCTGTGTTCCCTCTCTCGCTGTATCTCTCTCTGTCAAATAAATAAATCAAATCTTTAAAAAAAAAGATAATAAATCCAAAGAAATGAGAAAAAGGAAATAGAGAGATAAGATCAGAAATCAAGGAAATAGAGAACAAAAATCAATATTGAAGATTAACAAAGCAAAAGGCAGTTCTTTGAGAAGATTAGTAAGGTAGCAAACCTCTGATAAGACTGAACAAGATAAATCAAGAAGAGTAAATATGTAAAACACAATGAAAAGGAGAATTGCCTTTACACACGAACACAAGTTGCTTTAAAAATCATTTTAAAAATTAGGAACAAACATTATAATGCATAGGAAATCCATTAGAAAATGGGTTGATTTCTATGAAGGAGATAATGGGTTAAATTGGACCCAAGAAGAAATAAAAAATTTAAGTAGAGTATAAAAATAAAGATATTGAAGTGGTAATAAAAATATGTCCTTCAATAAAAGCCTTAGAAAAAAGCATGGGAGACTCAAGAAATAGAGGGAAAGGGATATGAAAGGACAATTCACAGAAAACAATCTGAGTGGCTGTGAAGCGATCCTAGTGGAGAGTTGCAACCTTAAATAAGATGCCACTTTACACCTGTCGGATTCGCTACAGTGAGGAAGCCGGAAAATGAGTCTAGCATGCTTCACTAAGGACTATTGCTTCTGGTGTGGACAAGACTCCAGTCCAGCTCTCTTGCTCCAGAATATGGCTCAGAAAATCTGTCTTTTTTATTATTTTAGATAGCCATATAACACTAAGCAGAAAGCACACACATCATGAATGTATGCTTGATGAATTTTCACAAAATGAACACTCTCATATAAATCACCACCATCGAGAAATAAACCACTTCCAGGACACTAGCAGCCCTCCTTGTGCCTCTCCCTGTCATCATCCCCCTTCTCCCCAAAGTAGCCACTGTCCTGATTTCTAACACCATGGATTAGGTTTGCATAGTTTCAAATACAAAATAGATGGAATCGTAGTGCCTCCTCTTTGCCCAGCCTTATGTTTATGAGATGGTCATACTGTTGCAGATGGTAGTAAATTATTCACCGTCTTCTTTGCAGTACAATATTCCCGTAAATGCATGCTACACAATTTATCCATTCTTCTCTTCATGGATGTTTGTTTCCCTTCTGGGTTTTGGCCGTTACAAATAATGCTGTACGATCATATATACAGTTGATCTTCATTATTCATGGATTCTGTGAATTTGCCTGCTCACTAAAGTTTATTTGTAACCCTGAAATCAATACCTACAGAGCTTTCACTGTCACTCATACACATGCAGAGTGGGGAAAAATTTGAGTCATCTGATGTGCATGTTCTCAGCTGAGGTCAAGCAAGGCAATGCTCTGCCTTGTTCCAGTTCTCATATTACAAACAAGTGTCATTTTCATGGTCCACTTAGTGTCATGTTTTTTAGATTTTTGTACTTTTTCTTGATGATTTCACTATTTAAAATGATGCCCAAGCTTAGTGATGAGGAGATGTCTAGTTCTTCCATGGGCAAGAAGGCTGTGATGTAGAAAATAATGTATTGTCAGGCATGAGTTATAGTGCTGCTGGACAGGAGTTCAGCATTAGTGAATCAACAATATACTCTAAATAAGGTGTCTTCAAACAGAAACGTACATAACAAAGTTATATACTGATTGGTTGATGAAAATATTGTGACCAGAGGCTAGCAGGAACTTAACCCTAGGTTTCCCTGGGGAGCAACTGTTCAGTACTGGCTGGTTCAGTGCTCATGGTGACTTTATAGAACATAACCACTATGAATATGAGAATTGACAGTATATGCATTTCACTGTGTATGTACCTAAGAGTCACACTGCTAGGTCTTAATGGTTGACGTATGTTCGATATTAGTACATCCATCAAAGAGAGTTCAAAGACCTTGCATTCATGTTCAATCCCACCATCAGTGTATGAGAATAGTAATAGCTCGGTATCTTTTCTGACACTTGGTATTGTCAGACTTCCAAATGTTAGCCATCTTGTTGATGTGTAGTACATCACACTGTGGTTTAATATGCATTTTCCTGATGATTAGTGGTGTTGAGCATCTTTTCATATTGGCCACTTAGATGCCCTCTTTTGTGAAGTGCCTCTTCAGGTCTTTGCCCTTTTCAAAAAGTGAGTTGTCTGTCTCTTTCTTACTGACTTGTAGGAGTCCTGTTATATTCTCAAATCAGTCCTTTGTTGGTTAAGTGTATTACAAATAATTTCTCCCACTCTGTGGCTTATAATTTCATTTTCTCAATGGTGTTTTTTGACAAATATATAAGTTCATGATATAACGTAAGTCAAACTTATCATTTGCTTTCTTTATGGTGTGTCCTTTTTATATCTCGTTTAAAAGATCTTTGCTTACTATGAAGTCATAAAGATATTATCTGGGTGCCTGGGTGGCTCAGTTGTTTAGCATCTGCCTTCAGCTCAGGTCATGATCTCAGGGTCCTGGGATAGAGCCCTGCATCGGGCTCTCTGCTCCGTGGAAAGCCTGCTTCTCCTTCTCCCACTCCCCCTGCTTGTGTTTCCTCTCTCGCTGTGTCTCTGTCAAATAAATAAATAAAATTAAAAAAAATAAAGATATTATTCTACATTATCTTGTAGAAGTTTTAATGTTTTAACTTTCACATTTTGATCTACAATCTACATGAAATTGATGTTTGTATCACATGAGCCAATAATCATGATTTGATTTTTTTTCCTATAGTGATATTCAATTGACGTAAGTACAATATGTTGAAAAGACTGTGCTTTTACCACTAAAGACAATTATTGTCTTTAATAATGTTTTCATAATGGGGCGCCTGGGTGGCTCAGTTGGTTAAGCAACTGCCTTCGGCTCAGGTCATGATCCTGGAGTCCCGGGATCGAGTCCCATATCGGGCTCCTTGCTCAGCAGGGGGTCTGCTTCTCCCTCTGATCCTCCCCCCTCTCATGCTCTCTCTCTCTGTCTCATTCTCTCTCTCAAATAAATAAATAAAATCTTTAAAAAAAAAATAATGTTTTCATAATGTATCATTCTTACACTTTTACTTGTGATCTGTTTGTATCCTTATGTTTAATGTATGCCTTTTGTAGGCAACATATAATTAGATTTTGATTTTTTTATTCTAGTCTAAAATCTTTGCCTTTTAAATACAATATTTAACTATTTATATTTAATGTAAATCTTAATATATTTGGGCATAAATGTTTCTACTTTTACCATTTTCCCCATCTGTACCATGTTCATCCTGTCTCCTTTATTGCTTTCCTTAAAGCAATACTTAAACAATTAAGTATGTTTAATTTTTAAAATGTTCCCTCATATTAGCTTGTCAGTTATATGTTCTTCTAACCTCTCTGTTTTACAATTACCATAGAGTATTGCATATGAATCTTTGACTTTTTAAAGTCTGATATAAATGAGCACTCTTTTGCTTTCTGGACAACACAAGGACCCTCCTTCCCTCTGTACTGGTTGTCATATATTTTATTTTGACTATATTTTAGACTACAAAAGAAATTACTGCTGTTTTTTACATCCACATTTACTTAGATTTATCCACATATTTACTCTTCCCATTGTTTTTCATTTCTTTATGCATGTCCTTGTTTTCAGCTGGGATAATTTTCCTTTATTCTGGATGTGTTGCCAAGGAAGTCTTTCAGTTCTTATTTATCTGCAAATATCTTTATTTTACTTTTATTTTTGAAGGAATTGAAAATGATTGTATAAATTATAGATTGACAGTTATTTTCTTACAGCATTTTAAAGATGCTGTTTTATTGTCTCTTGGCTTCTGCCGTTTCTGTCACCCATATTATTGTTCCTCTGAAGTTAATGCCTTTTTTTAATCTGGCTGCTTTTAAAAATTTTGTTCCATCTTTGGTGTTCGGCAGTTTCACTATGATGAACCCAGGTGCATTTCTTTTTTTTTTTCCCTTTGATTTTTCTTGTTTTAAGATTGTAGTGTTTTCTGAATGTGTAGTTTGATGTCCTTTGTCAATATTTTAACATCCTTAGCTCTTATCTCAATAATGTTGCTTCTGCCTCATTCTTTTTTCCTTCTGAGTTCATCATTTATAAACACAGGCTTTAAACTAATGATGATTAATATGTTTAAGTAGCTAGAGGGCATAATGGATAACTTATTTCAGCAGAGAACTGAAATGTAGAAAAGAAAATGAAATAAAAATTATAGAACTGAAAAGTAAAGTAATTAAACTTGAGAACACAATAGATAAATTGGATAGCAGATTAGACATAGTAGAAGGAAGGGTTGTTAAAAGGAAGATAGAAGTCTAGAAAATATCCAGGCTGAAGCTGAGTGGATGGGTGAAAAATGTATATTTTCCTATAAAATCCCAGATTTTTGCCTTTTCATGAAAAATCAAAACTTTAGTTGGCCTGAGGTGATGAAGGGCTTCTTCCTACTAGCCGGAGTCCATTCCGCTCTATTGCTTTCTGCCACTGAAGCTGCTTATCTTTTGCTATGGTTTGTATTGCCCATGCACTACTTCACTCAGTTACATTCCCTGTGTGAGTGGGCATGGCGGGGGAGGACAGTCTAGGCATATGAAATAGCACATGAAAAAGCATTTAGCTGGGAGAGGTGGACAAGTCTGGGGGCTCAAAGGAAGCCAGCAGGGCTGGAGCATGGGCAGGACCAGGGGCTGTGTTGTATTGGACTACTAAGTCTGGAAAAATACACCAGATCTTGGATGTCCTTGCAGAACCAGCAGCTAAGAAGGGCCAGTGGTTATTTCACTGTTACTTGATAATATACAGATTTGGCCCTTCTCTACCTTCTGGTTGAAGCAATCCACCAGTAAGTGAAATTAAGTTGTTAATTGTAAGATGACTAGCTAACTTTTAGCCAGGTAGACAAGATATTGACTTGGTAGCATGAATCATCGCTAAATAAATCTTCCTGCCTTTGTTTCCCCTCTGTTTCAGCTGCAAGTGTCCACTGCTTGGAAAAGTGTGGGGAGCTGACTTGGAAGCTTGTCGGTTGCTTGTCCAAAGCCTACAGCTCCAGGAGTCCAGGGACACGCTGTTTGCAGAAGATGAGAGGCAGACAGATGACTTTGCAGGAGCCGTCTGTCCAACCACTCCTGCCATCTCCCCCAAGCTCCACTCTGAAGTTGAGAGGAAGACCCCTTTGCAGGCCTTCGGGGACTGGAAGGCTCACCTGAGCCCATCTCTGTACTTTGCTGGCAGCGAGCAGAAAGAGGTCTGTCCATCCCTATAGCCTCAGCAGGGCCCCTACTCAGAGGGGTACTTTGGGGCCACACTCCAGATGGGAATAATAAATATTGAGAGGGTGACCCATCGAACCATGCAAACTTAAAAGTTTTAATAACCCTGGAATATGATTACAAAATAATGTAGAATTTTTGTGGAAGTTTACAATATAGAAGAGCAAAAAGAATCATTTTTGGCATATTTAGTTCTATGTTCTAAGTTAATAGCTAGAGTTAGAATATAAATTTGGTATGTAATTAATATATATACCATATACCATATATGTTATATATAACATATTATTATTGCATATACTATTATATGTGTCACGTGATAGTTAATTGTATATTTAGAATCTATATATCATCATTTATTAGAATATCTATCTATATATTATTATTTATTAGAATCAAACATTCAAATATATGTGTATATCCCTTTGTTTTGGCCCAAACAAGGTCATAATGGATATTTGTAATACATTCTTTTCATTTAAAAAAAAACAACAACCTGATACTTGGCTTATGATATATATATCATTATATATATCATTTAATTATATATTTATCATATATACAATTAAAATGTGGATTTATTTAACATGTTACTCCAAGGCTGGCCTAGATTAACAGAGAAGAGTTCCCCTCCCCTCCCTACCCCATCCCCTCTACTCCTCTCTTTCTCCCTTCTCCCCTCCCCTTCTCTCCCTAGTCCATCTCTCCCCACTCTTCCTCACTTTCCCCTCCAACCCTAATAAGACAACTTTCAATGAAGGTTCTCTAGGCAACTTCTTTTTTTTTTTTTTTCCCAATTTTAGAACCACACCAGGAGGCTTTGGAGCTCTTTTTCTGACCAGGTACTCAGGTGTTCTGAATTAAAAGGCAACAAAATGCTGGTGAGGTTGGAGGAACATGTCACTTCATGTTCATGGCTCACATTTGACATCAGATGTGCCCCCTCCCTGGGCCTTTGCCACAAAGTGCCCCCCTGCCCGCAGGCAGGCCTGCCCATCCTATCTGTAGGACCAGACACTCACTGACAACGTGGGCTACAGTCACTGCCTTCTGGACTCTTTGGAAAATTGATACTTGATCCCATATTTGAATTGAATAACCTTATGAGAAAGAAGGCTGTTGTCAGTCTCTGGAATCCTGCTGGCCTCATAAATTAGGCTCTAAATTGAGCTATAGATGATCTCAACTCCTTTGTTAGTCGAGGTGCTGTAGGTGGCCACCAGCCCTGTTGGTGGAGTTGTTGAAAACTCGCCACCTGTTGCAGTTGGCTGGCAGGGAAGAAGATTCTGGTGGGGAGGGAAGTGCCACCTAAGCAAGGGCATCATAGCTCTGGGCTGAAGATACCGTGGGCCCTGGGTGTGAGGCTTTGATGGGAGGGTTGGCTGTCCACAGTGGGCTCGCAGGAGCTCAGTCCCGGGACAGGCAGGAGCCAAGTCAGGTATGTGATGGGGTCTGCTGGGACATGGGACTCCTCTGGAGGTCAGGACTGATTCAGCAAATTCCACCTGTTAGAGGAGGCTCCATCCCTCCCTCCCTCCCTCCCTTCCTCCCTTCTGTGCCCATGTGTCCCTCCAGGCTCTCTGGAGGATGACATTCCCAGGTATAGGAGGATTATCCTTCTTCCATAAGATTATGAGTACCTGCCAATCTGACTATAGGAAAACAGAGCTATGAAGTAGGAAATGCAAAGTCAAGGATGAATAGCCTAGAACCTTTTCATAGAAAGACACTTGAAGTTTCTGGTGAGGAGGAGGCCCAGACTGTAACCCCAGAGAGTGGAAGAGCCACAGTGACTACTTCTCTGAGCTCCGGGACCTCCCCGCCCCAAACCCCCACCGCCTCTCCACCTACTCAAATGCTGAGGATTTCCCACAATTTCTTGCTGCTTCCTTCAGCGTGGGGGAGCCAGAGGGTGCTTTGAAGCTTTTGCTAGCTTTCCATGCTGTCTTCCTGTCCTGTGCCAGGCATCAGCCCACTTACTGTTCCTGCATTGCTTTTCTGGGTTTCTATTCACAAAGAAGGGTGGGCACCCTTTGAATTCATCAGTGGCAGAAATGTTAAGATGGCAGATACCGCCTAGAAAGGGCAAAATTATGGGAGCAGAAAACAGATCAGTTGTTGCCAAGAACTGGGGTGAGGGGGAGAGATTGTTCACAAAGAGCAACATGAAGGAATTTGGGGGTGCGTGTGATAGAACCATTCCGTGTCTTGATTGCGGTGGTAGTTACATCTCTGTGTGCATATGTCTGTAACTTTACACCAGGGTGAATTGTATTTATTACTCTACAAAGGTGACTAAAATTTTTAAAAATAACATCCGCCTATTTAAGAGCGAGGTCATAGATGTTGGGATTGGTGGTACTTGGCTCAGGGCTACGGGAAGGCAGTTTGGTGTGGCAAAGGGAACCTGAGGCTCAGATCCTAGTTAGGCCATCTGCAGGCTGCATTCACTCATCTGCTAAACACCTCCCCACCTGCACCCCCCAAATGAGGACAATAAACATTATCTCATGAGGTTGTAAGGATTTAAATAAAATAACGCATTTAAAAGTGAGTTAGAGGTTTAAGAAAATACATAGTAGAGGCTTGAAAAAATGAGTTTGTTTTTTCTGGAGGGGAGGTGTTATCACTCTTTTTGGCAATCCCAAGTATCTCTAAGACCTTTTAAAAAGAATATGCTTGGCTTTCGTTATCAAGAAGCACAAGCCAGCAATGAATTAGTGGGAGATAATCTCAGACAAGAAAAGTTTAATAAAGGAAGAATCTTGTTTGTATTTAGATGGAGGATTTTCGATGACCAAAGTCTCCGAGAAACGATAATCAAGGATCTCATTAAGGAAGGTGTTTTCGTTTTGCTGCCTCTGTCTGCCAGGGAGTCCTTGAAGTCTGAGTACTTGTGTATTTATCCTGTGCCTGAAGCGGCTATTTGTTTTGCAGCTGGGAGTTGGTTTTGCTTTGGGAACTCCCTGCCGGGTCTGGACGTCCCACCCTGGTTTCTGTATTGAAGCGTGACGGCCCGAAGGCAGGCAGTTTCTTTATAACCCAAATCTTCCATGAAAAATTGCTGACGTCTTACGGAGGTCCGTGGGGAGAGGGCTTCTCCGAGCCTTCCCTGGGTGTGTAAGTGGCCCACGTGGTTCCGTGCATTTCGGCGGTGCATCCTTGTTCGGAGTGTTTGGTCATTAATTAAAGCTTTCGCCGTGTGGCTGGTCCCCCTGGGCCGCCCCGCACAGTGCCCCCATTTTACAGCTGGGCCCATGAAGTCAGAGTCATTTGCTTGGGGCTTTGCTGCAGAGGATGTCGGCAGCAGGGCTAAGGGGCCAGTTTTAGCAGGAGCTTCCTCGGATTGTAAGAACACCCTGGTTTCTTGGTTACTGCTCGCCCGCAAGCCTTTCCGCGGACTCTGGAAACAATCAGCTGCTGTTGGTCCCGATTTATAGGCGGTGCAGAAATTGCACGTGGGCCAGACAGGAGCTGGGGAAATCAGTGAGCCAGCTTCCTCCACTGTGAAGTTGCTCTTTTGTACTCGCTGTTCTGGCCCTAATACCTGCGTAATTCTCTCCTTCCTGTCTGCCCTCTGTCCTGCTGGGGTGCTTTCTGTTTTTACTACAAAGTGGGCTCCCCTCCCGCGGAGTTCCCTGGACAGGATCACTCTCCCCTAACTCCAGCTGCTTCCTTTCCAAGCCAGTAGCTGCCACCAAAGAGGCTTAAAGAAGCCAAAAAAAAAGTGGGGTGGGGGGAGGCCAGAGCTCTGAGCGATCTCATGCAGCACTGGAAAAGCCAGTGTGCTGTCTGCCATGAAAGAAATTCGCAGTACGACATGACCAGACGGTGCAGCTTTGTTCTAGGATACAGGTCTCTCTAAAACCCAGTTCCTGGGGCGCCTGGGTGGCTCAGTCGTTAGGTGTCTGCCTTCGGCTCAGGTCATGATCCCAGCGTGATCCCCAGGCATCAGGCTTCCTCTCCCACTCCCCCTGCTTGTGTCCCCTCTCTCACTGTCTCTCTCTGTCAAATAAATAAATAAATAATATATATACATATATATATTAAAAAACCCAGTTCCTTTTCACACAGCCCATCTTGCATAAACCTCAGCAATGATGCGATACATCACCTGCAGTTTCCACTGTGGGTTTCTTTAAAGTGGACCGGAAATGCAAACAGCACTGGCAAAAACAACCCTCGGTGTCCTCTCTTCTCTCTTTTAAAGATTTTCAGCTTGGTGTATATGGAGACAGGGAGTCTCTTCCTTGCGAATGTTTCATGGCTTTCCATCACATTTGTCATTAGAATTTCAGGTCCAACCGGCACACATAGGATTAGCAACAAGCACAACTCAACCAATAGGGCACAGCCCGACCAATAGGAGCAGAAGCACGCAGGCTCCCCGGGGCTCCGCCCTGGCCCTGGCCCCCCAGGGGGAGAGAGGCCACAGAGCCACGGGGCAAGCTGGAAGGTGGGAAGGAGAGGGGCTTCTGTCATCAGTTAGCTGGCTTCTGCTGCTTCTCTCAGTTAATTAACGTTGTCAGCTTGTCAGCCTCTTATTTCACCTGCCCAAGGAAAGGAAGTGGACTCCACCCGCCCCCCCCTCCCCGCATCGGCCTGCTTTCCCTCCTTTTTGAGAATTATGGAGCCACTTTCTGTGTTCCAGGGGCCTAACTGTGGCATTTCTTTCACTAATTAAAAATAGGTCAGTGCTTCAGAGGAAACCGGCCTTGGGGCTCTTGGAGACTCTTTCACCTTGGAAATTCCTTGTCATTCACAGATGAACACTGAGGGATCAATAGAAAATTGTCACTGCCCTGCTGGCAAGGAGTGACCTATAGCATTTGTAACACCGGAAGCTTATCTGATGGCTACATAGTCGCGTCTCCCGAGTAGCCAAGAGATATTTATTTATTTATTTATTTATTTATAGATTTTCTTTATTTGACCCAGAGACACAGCAAGAGAAGGAACACAAGCAGGGGGAGTGGGAGAGGAAGAAGCAGAGCAGGGAGCCCGATGCGGGGCTCGATCCCAGGACCCTGGGATCACAACCTGAGCCGAAGGCAGACGCTTAACAACTGAGCCACCCAGGCGCCCCTAGCTGAGAGATTTTTAAAAACCAGGGTTTCACATTTCTGGAAAATGAATGCTCTGCCCCCTTGTCCTACCTGGGCTGCATCTGATGCTCTCACCTGTTGGGGGCCGGGACAGTTAGAGTCAGGAACTTCCTTGTACCCCACAAGCTGGCTGGCAGAACCTCCTGCCCAATTTAGCTTGAGCAGGTGGAAAGCCTGGATCTGCTTAGAGCGTAAAGCATGCTGTCCTTGTAAAGGGTAACAATCCGGAACCAGGACGAAACCCTGGCATTTAAAAACAATAATTCTGGTAGTCTCATAGTTGCATAGTTTACAAAAATATTTAGAAATGCAAAAATTTTTAATCTAGAATGAACACAGATAAAGTTGGCATTTGATTCTGTTCTCTTGGTTTCCTCTTTACTGTTTGTGGTTCAGCATTTCTTGGCAACACACAGCTTGCAGAGCACATACTCCTTATATGGAATCTCCCCTACTGTGTTCCGTTCTCATTTTTCTTTTTACGAAAGGGTCTTAAGATTTGATGTCACTATCCCCCAAATCTGAATGCTTATGTTAAATAGAGCTTATTTAAGTACCTGCTGGTGGTATGACTATTATTTACACATAGATTTTTCCTCGAAGTTTCCAATAGAGTTTGGCCTTATTCGACTTTGATGTTCAACTGATGTGTGCCGGAAGGAAAACAATCCAAGATGTCTTGAATGATCGTGTAATATAAAATAGAGCTTTTCAAAGATCGCCCTTCATATGAACTC